TGACCTTGTGACGCCACTAACCACACACAAATTTTTAAAATTGTTCATGATTTATTTAGATGAATTATTTTCATGGTTTTAGTTTTGGAAAATGACTAATAAGTTAGTTGAGATCCATTTTAGTTGCTTCTGTATGTTCTATACTTTGGATGGCTACGTTACTGACCCATTAGGCATATCTACAATTTGTTTCATAGCAAATTAACATTATCATAATGAGCAAATAATGACATTAAAAAATTCCATTATAGACTTCTACCGCTCGGGTTTAAATCATCGAACGTGGAAGCCCAACGTGTCCCTAATGTAGAATACTCGTCATAGGTGTCACCCGTAAGCCGGTGGCGTCAAAAGCCGCCCCTGTTACAGTTTGGCCGTTGAATCAAGTAGCACCCCTTGACTCTGCAGGACGTGCAATAATCGGATCCTTTGCAATCAGGTAGTCGCTGGGTAACTTGGGGCGCCCAATCGTAACCACTGCTGATCCGTATCCCTTGTGTATGGTGCTCATTAAAACGAATATAAGCGCTGTAGTGCCCGGGGCGCATCGGGTTACACGACCGCCGGGGCGTCAGCTAATGCGCCTGTGCAATTTGACCACTGGATCAAGTAGTAACACTGTCGCGCTGTGCAGGCCGCCAAATCAAACGGATCCCAGATGCATAGATAGCCGCTGGGAAACTCTGGATGGCAAACCGCACCACAGTACTGCTGGGAGCCGAAATAAAATAAACGTTTAAAGGTAGAAACCTTCCCAAAAGTTTCTTTCGGGCACTTTTTTCAGAAAAAATGCCTGGGGAAAAAAACGCTGCCTGGAGTATTCTCAACGACTTCCCAAAGTGTCTTGGTGATTGGATAAAAATTAAAACGTTTAGAGTTAGTAGCGCCATATTGCTTACAGATTGATTAGATTAACAAATGAAATGTCATTAAGGTAAAAATTGGGAGAAAAACATTGACAAATGTTGGACAGCTTGTTGTGAAAACATTGTCCATGGTTATTTTTTAAAATGGCTAAATAGTTATCATGGATGTTTAGTAGGATGGAATTTCGGGTAGGGCAGACAGTTGGGATGGAAGTGCAGGTCTGCGGGAATGGGTAGAGAATTTCCCCGTCAGTTGAGGTTTATAGCGATGCATGTAAATTTACTGTTGCCTGCTACCTATCTCACAAAAGAGTGCAAGTTCAAGTTTATTTATAGGCTAATTCTTTCTACAGTGTTATAACTAAGGATTGACCCTGCCCGACGCCACTGCCCCCCCCCCCACCAACACACATTGAATGCCGAATGCGACTGGCTCAGAGCCTGAAAGAAACACTATGCATCACGTGTGAGCGCAACACGGCAGATAGTATCTGCAGTTAGATGTTATTCTAGGGTGTGGTCAGGTCGGTAAAGCTCATGGCTGTTAAACGAAAAAGTCCCGAGTTCGAACCCCAGGTTACAGCAACCCATCTATTCAGGAAAACTCCAAAGTCAAACAACACGCTTTAGGTTGGCCATTTACACACTATCCGTTGGCCTATTGGACCGGCCTATTGTATGTAGATGACCGGCCTATTGTATGTAGATGACTGGCCTATTGGACCGGACTATTGTATGTAGATGACCGGCCTATTGTATGTAGATGACCGACCTATTGTATGTAGATGACCGACCTATTGTATGCAAATGACCGGCCTATTGTATGTAGATGACCGGCCTATTGTATGTAGATGACCGGCCTATTGTATGCAAATGACCGGCCTATTGTATGTAGATGACCGGCCTATTGGACCGGCCTATTGTATGTAGATGACCGGCCTATTGTATGCAAATGACCGGCCTATTGTATGTAGATGACCGGCCTATTGGACCGGCCTATTGTATGTAGATGACCGACCTATTGTATGTAGATGACCGACCTATTGTATGTAGATGACCGACCTATTGTATGCAAATGACCGGCCTATTGTATGTAGATGACCGGCCTATTGTATGTAGATGACCGACCTATTGTATGTAGATGACCGGCCTATTGTATGCAAATGACCGGCCTATTGTATGTAGATGACCGACCTATTGTATGTAGATGACCGACCTATTGTATGCAAATGACCGGCCTATTGTATGTAGGTGACAGGCCTATTGTATGTAGATGACCGACCTATTGTATGTAGATGACCGACCTATTGTATGCAAATGACCGGCCTATTGTATGTAGATGACCGGCCTATTGTATGTAGATGACCGGCCTATTGTATGTAGATGACCGGCCTATTGTATGTAGATGACCGGCTTATTTTATGTAGATGACCGACCTATTGTATGCAAATGACCGGCCTATTGTATGTAGGTGACAGGCCTATTGTATGTAGATGACCGGCCTATTGTATGTAGATGACCGACCTATTGTATGTAGATGACCGGCCTATTGTATGTAGATGACGTGCTGGTTGATCATTTGGCATCGCAATTTTACCGAGACTTTTCAGATGGCCATATATTTTTTTAAACAAACGAACACCAGACGCAAGTTTTACAAAACTTTTTAATTTAACATCTAATCAGAGCTGGTTAACAGAAATATTACTGGACGGATTACTTATGTCCTAATCGATAAATCTAATTTATTTTTTAGCATCTTCGCTATAGCAGAAACCAAGTTACTATACTGTCAATCCAGTCAGGTTTTCGATTACACTAAACAATGTTTTAAAAGTTAATACAACTGTTTTAAAATCAAATTGTGTTGTCTTCAAGGCCAAATTGGACTGCAATAGTTTACATCTCAGCGTTACTGTGACTACACACATTACCCCACACTGATGACTACACAAATTTCCCCACACTGGTGACCCCACACATTCCCCCACACTCGTGACCCCACACATTCCCCCACACTGGTGACCCCACACATTCCCCCACACTGGTGACCACACACATTCCCCCACACTGGTGACCCCACACATTCCCCCACACTGGTGACCACACACATTCCCCCACACTGGTGACCCCACACATTCCCCCACACTGTTGACCACACACATTCCCCTACACTGATGACCCCACACATTCCCCCACACTGATGACCCCACACATTCCCCCACACTTGTGACTACATACATTTACACAAACTGTTGTCCACTGACATTTCCTATGCTGCTGGTTGATTGCTGGTAATTTGGCCATCTTAAGATTATAGCCTGGCCACCTGCTCATAAAAAGCTGGCCATCACGACATAAAAATATGGCCATCTCCACACAATATATTGGCCAGCTTTAAACAACAGGCCAGACATCTTCACACAATTCAGCTGGCCATTTTCACGTTTCTATAAGTTGGTTGGCAAGTTGTATGCAAAGTTTTGTAAGTTGTATAACAAGTTATGTGACTGCTTACAAGTTGTATATTTTGTATGTCAAGTTTTGTTTACATGTTGTGTAAGTTGTCTGACAAGGTGTATGAGAAACGGAGCTATTGGGTAGACTTTTGATGAAGCGACCTGACTTGCTATCTCACAATCAGCTGATTTACTAATGTTCTGAGTTCGAACCCTCGGGCAGATGAGGCTCGTTAACTGGGGACAGCCACTCTTCTAGGAGAGACAACTCCAAAATCAAACATCTGCTGCCTTGTTTTTAATACCAGGTTCAACATCTGTACCTATTCGAACTGAACCACCACCACCACCCCCAATATCTACAGTAAAAGCTGTTGTTAGTAAGTATTTGGTTAAAATTGTATATAATCATTTTTTGTGTATTTCAATGTGTCACTAGAAAGAAAATTGTGGTCAACAATGTTTTTATGATTATTTTAAAAGAATCACAACTTGTTATTTGTCTCTGCATGCAGTAAACATTCGATCCAGTCTTCTCACCTAAAACAGTTTTTTTACATAAAACCAGTGTTTGTTATAACATACTTAGCCTTTTAAGTTTATATAATAAACCGGGAGTGATTTCCCCTAAACTTTCTCAAATATTCTTATATAAAACAACAGGGGACGGCAACTCGGGATATAAACATGGTTTTTAATCCATTTTAAATACTTTAACTTTTTAAAATAGAACAGAATCTCGTTAAAAAAATAGCACACCAAGTGAACTCCAAACAAAATGTGCATAATAGTGCGGAAATTTATTAGTACTTTATAAGTTCACATGCGTTTTTTAAGAAATCGGAAATAGCGTAAATCACTACTTCTGGTGGGTCGGCGTGGTCGAGTCGGTAAAGCTCATGGTTGCTAAACCGAAAAGTCTCGAGTTCGAACCCACTTGCAGATAAATCTCGATCCCTTTCAACACTAATAATTAAGAACGAAGAAGAAGAAGACTAATGTTCTAAGTTTTGATTAAACTTATGAGAGCAAACATATACCGACAGCTACTAAAGCTTGTGCAAGCTAAAAATGGTCTTTTTTTACAAACTTTTATTTAGTTCACAACGACTCTTTAGTTGTTTGTGGGTTTGTGGCAAAATCTGTAACTCAATTTAGACACACTTCTAATGCAGGGATTTCGTTCAAACTTTCCAGATACGTTCCACTTCGATGACAATTATTTTTTAATTTAATTAGATTGTTAATTAGTCATTAAAAATTAACTAAACGGTTTTGAAACTAAGGGGAGATAACAAAATTAAATCATACGATAGATTTCTAAATTCGATAAAATAAGACGTGATTTCCCTAACAGTCTGTTGAACTGTGGTTCACGAGAATGTTTACAATCGTAGAGCCGGACGATCTAGTAAAGGCTATTAAGAGGGGGGGGGGGGGGGGGGTTACTAAAGTTTTAAAACTATTTTAAACTAAAGGGAGGTAACAAAAACTTGCTTTCGTCTGTAAAATATGGTGAATGAAGATTGCTTTCACGGGGCAGATAAACGTCCATCAGATATCGCGATCTACTGATGGTAATTTGAAGCAAATTTTTTTAGTCATGTCAACTTAATACATTAGGAATCACTAACAAGTAGAAATTAAAACAAATTTAAATCACCTTTATAGCGACCCGATTTTAAGTGCACTGACAATAAAAACATAAAACTAATTTGCTTTCTATAATAAAAGCTTTGGTACTCATGAGATCTTTTACATATTTTTGTAACTTTAATAAATTAGAAAAAAAAATCAAACAAACGAAAATAGCAACTGAAGACAGCACATTTGGTATTATTGGAAAGCAGCCTCAGTTGTTAATCTTTATTTAATGTGTGATTTATCCTCAAACTTGGACATCACTTTAGGTGTTCAGTGCTGAAAATAAAGAATAAAACACACCAGATAAAATAAATTAAAATTTTTAGTTTTAAAAATAATTTATGCAAACGCAATTGTAAACTTCTTATACAACTAATATAGATGTTATATTTTAGGTATCTCCAAAGAAGGTACAATGACAAGTTTTGTCGATTTTTATTGTAGCTTTGTCTCTGAGGTGAAGTCGAGGTGTTAGGGCAAGGTTTAAAGGTTTAGGGCTTAGAGCTTAGGGAATAACCAGAGGCACGAGCAGGAGTTGAAAGTCAATTCTTAAAAATACTTGTTGTTTTTTTAATTAATTTACAAAGTAAACTGTCTTTAGAAATTCGATATATAATAAACATCAACTGAAAATAAATTTTGTTAAGTTCTGGTTGTAATTAAAAATGGCCGGAACAGTTTTTATTGTAGACCAACTTCATACACATACGAAAGCATTGATTGTATTCTCGTGTAACGGTAACTACAATATTTAATCTCATATACATGAAGGAGTACTAATCACTCTGAAATATAAATGAGGGAGTAAAGGCCAACTGAATACACTTGCATATAAACGCAGCAGTGCTGAATACAGTTACATATATACGTGACAGTGTTGATTCTAATTACATCTAAACATGACGGTACTGATTACACTTACATGTAAACTTGGCAGTATTGATTACACTTACATGTAAACTTGGCAGTATTGATTACACTTACATGTAAACTTGCCAGTATTGATTACACTTACATGTAAACTTGGCAGTATTGATTACACTTTTATGTAAACTTGGCAGTATTGATTACACTTACATGTAAGCTTGGCAGTATTGATTACACTTACATGTAAAATTGGCAGTACTGATTACACTTACATGTAAACTTGGCAGTACTGATTACACTGACATGTAAACTTGGCAGTACTGATTACACTTACATGTAAACTTGGCAGTATTGATTACATCCTTCTTGAAATTGTGGCCTGGATTCCACTATGACGTAATGGCTAACAGCACTGAGACAGCGGGTCTTGCACTGGTCAAGGACGCTGGGCAGTTGACAGAGAGCTGTATGACAGTCAGTCGATAGAATAGTTGGCAACTAGTTAGCAATTAGTGGCTTGATAGATGGTTCATGTTAACATTTAGCAATTAGTGGCTTGATAGATGGTTCATGTTAACATTTAGCAATTAGTGGCTTAATAGATGATTCATGTTAACATTTAGCAATTAGTGGCTTGATAGATGGTTCATGTTAACATTTAGCAATTAGTGGCTTGATAGATGGTTCATGTTAACATTTAGCAATTAGTGGCTTGATATATTGTTCATGTTAACATTTAGCAATCAGTGGATCGATAGATTCGTTCATGTTAACATTTAGAAATTAGTTGCTTGATGGATTAGTTGTTAATGTTAACATTTAGCAATCAGTTGCTTGATAGGATAATTGTTCATGTTAACATTTAGCATGTTACTGAATAGCTGTATTAATAAAAATAGAAGTATTTCCCAAAATAGCGATGTAAAGTTACTGTACTTTTCAATGTTCGAAATTTAAATGTTAAAAAAAATTTCAAACTGTATGTAAAGATCTGTAGAAAAATAAACTTTTGCAAAAAAATAAAAAAATAAATAAAAAAAAAATAAAAAAAAAACAAAAAAAACAACGGAAATTATTGTTTAAAAAAATATACGGCCATTGTGGCATTTCACTGTTATGGAAAAACGAATTACCAGCCATAGTATAGTTTGAAATTGATGATTGACAATTAGAATCATTAAACATTGTAACAATTTAAATAACCGCGATGATACCTTACCTAATGTAATGAACAAGAAAACACAGACGAATATGAAAAGTCTAGCCGCCATTTTGTTTAATCAACTTTTCAAAAATAAATTAACTTTAAAATGACCCGTTTCTTTTATCTGGTTTCACTTCCTGAAAACGTCACGATTTCTTCACGTGATAATTCTTTAAACGGCAACGAGATTGTGGGAAACGTGTGTCTAGATATAAAAGATAAGATCAAATGTTTGGGCAGAACTTTTTTATTCTTTTGTCTCGACAAATATCTGACTGGGGTTAGAGACTGCACATAATCTTTGAAATGAACGGAGAATATCATTTTGTTGCTGAGTTTATTGGTGTTTCATCTTAATATTCATTTTTAATGTATACTTTTGTATATCTTCGAACAGTGGAAATAGTTGGATACAGGGCGGAACTACAGTGCCGCCAGACCCCGCATTGCAGG